GACGTGCAGTTCAGTTTTTGGGCACGCATACGGTGCTGCAGGGATTTTTAGGTGTACCTCTTCGGGCTCTTGCATACCTTTTTCTCGTCAGATGTGTGCGTGTTCTTTAGATCCTCAGATGGCTCTAGCACTTTCGTGACCACGGGCTGAGAGTCTTTTGCTAGATTTTGGCATTTAGCAACTGACATACGGTTTAATGTGAAGACAAACAACAACAACAACAACATCAGTTGCTTCTTTGATTGATATTGTGTGTCGCGCGCCCGCTTTCTCTGTTGGTGGGCGTGAAAACAAAAACCACACCCACCCGACAGACGGCGTCAGCTTGTTTTTCACCATGCATCGATACGGGAACGCGGACAACTATCAACAACAAGACCAAAGAGCTCGTTTGTGGACGTCGTCTGCAGAGGCAGCAGTAGAACAGTCATCATCTCCAGGTGACGATCCAGCAGGAACAGAAGCCATGGATGGGGCTGGCCCAGGCCCTGTTTTGCACCAACATGAGCCGTTCACCAACATCCCCGTTTTTCTCGACCGGACAATGCGGATCATCGACAATACTCCGGACGATATCGTCTGTTGGTCTGAACAAGGGGATTCGTTCATCATCAAGAAGGCGAGGGAAAAAGTGAATATCGTATTCGATGCATAGCGCTGCTGTTCATAAGCAACGACCGTTTGTTGTGTGCAACGAGACCGTTGCACACGGCTCTTCTGCTGTGCATTTCAAGATCGTGAACTGAGAAATAAATCCGTTGATGACGTTGTTGGTGTTTCGTGACGTGAGTTGATAACTCAGTTGATGCTTGTGTACATTCGTATTCATAGTCTAGTAGTTAGTTTCAGTTCGAGGCAGAGCGAGATAAATATTAAATCCCCGCGATATCCCTCGCCGCGGCAACGGTAACTACATGAAACTGGCGAGCTTGGTTGCAGCTTCAGCTGATGATGTGGTCATAGAATCTAATGTAGTTGTGTGTTTGGTGTGAAAAGCACTTTCAAAGTGTGCATCTCAACAACTTCTTGCCTAACGGCAGAGCTCATCCAGCCTTCGGTAGTTTTGCTCCGCTGTATGGAATCTCGGAACATGACTATCTGTCCTGCAGCTGCTGTCCTACATTTACGTACAAGTACATTCAATACCGCACGGGGAGGCCGAGTGGTTGATGTTGGTTCTTATTATTTTTTGGCTAGCTTCCATGTATGTTGTGCTGAAGACTGCAGACACACACAGAGCGTGATCGAAGGAGGGCAAGATTGATTCAACACGTCGCCAAACTTGCTCCCACTCGCAGCATATTGTTCGCCCACTTCCTCTAGTCCAATGTCTCGAGACTGAACTTGCGAAAAACTATTTTCCCAGCGCACGCACACGGATCACTCGATTCACCATATTTTTTTCCTGCGGAGGTGACCAGGGGGGGTGAGTTGAAATATCAGCAGTCACGCAGTAAAATCTCATGATGCCCACACACGGGCTGCCTAGTACGCTGCTGTCAGCGGTTTCTCGCTCCCTTAGCCCGCCTAGACTATCACTCCAGTGCGAAGAACGGCGCGCCAACGGCCAGAGTGCAGCGTTGTTATTGATCTATCCCTCATTTCCGTGTTTCTCAGATCTTGCGAAGAAGCACAGGCAGGTAGGTACATCTACGGGTTGTTCACGAAGATGTATATATGGCGTTACTACTTGTCGGTTGTGCGTTGTGGCAGCCCAGATTTGTGACAAAATAATTTCTAGCCACAGCACAGCCCCCCCCCGCCTAACAGCTACCTCTGAGCTGCAATCCATCAATCATCCCCGCGTGTGCGTAGAGTAGGGAACGACGGACGTACAATTGGAGATATGTAGCGTGGAAAACAGACGGGGAATTACATGTATATCTGGACTTCTGGATTTCCGTGAAATAGCCCGAAGCTAAACTTGAGACGGCTGGAGCGGCGTGCGTCTTCCTCAATAGGACCGCGCCCTTTGCCCAACAAAGTGAATCGCCGGCGAAGCCTAGCAACGTCGACGTGCTATTTCGCTACACGGTAACTAGTTCAGACATTTTCATTGCCACTATTACATACAGCAGAAGAAGAACCCCCCCGAGGTCTGCACGTATAATATATGTCTTGGGTTTTCGCGAGACAGCTTCTTATTTTTTCGCCCTCAGATGTTTCGCCGCTTCCTACAAATGTCAAAGCGGAGCTGGAAACAAGAAACAAAGTTCGCGTATGTCCATTGCTTGCTGCTGTGTGGTACTTTGGACTCGATTCATTCGTGTTTCTTTTTTTGAACACAATCAATCAGACAGATTCAATTTGCCAAAGAGGGCCGTGTGCAGTTAGTCAGGCCCTGCTGGTATGACGTGTGTGTGCACTTCATACCAGCTGCTTCATACAGCCATATAGCCACATACCTCTGTTCGCTGGTGTGAAACCGTCGGCAGGCCCAGACTACGCGGTAGACTTACATCTTGAGTATGCGTACCTTTTTGTTAAGAGAACAGAACGGTTTCATGGGTGGCCGATTCTTCATTATCATACTTTCTCTGTCACATAAGTAAAGTCCGTTATGGGGGAATTTACATACCTCACCAGGCAAGGTGTTCCTGAAGCTCTTGTTAGGTTTGTTGGAAAGCGCTTGTTACGCACATAACTTAAAAAAAAAAAAAATCCGATTCACAATTACTGAGAATTAGTGTATCAAATACGGGACTATTTTGCGAATATTCTGGGAATATTTTGAAAACATTTTGAGAACATTTTAAAGAATATTTGCAGCTTTGTGCTGTGTGAGCACCCACTACCACCACAACGACGTAGCTATCATGGGGGACGACGCCCAGACACCCCCACGTCGTAAGCGGGGTGCGGAAGTATCGTTGGGTCGTCGGTACGCCATGGCGGTGGAGATAGCGTTGGCGATTCCGCCGGGCAAAGAAAGGGTACCCAAGGGCTTTCTAGGCCCCCTCGCCGAGCGGTACGGCGTTGGTAGTGATTACCCCAGAAAACATTGGGCGGAATGCAAAGCGCAGATCGATGAAACCGGAGAGCTCGACCTTTCAAACAAACGTCGGAGTGGGCGGCCATCGCTCCTCACTCCGACGAAGGCCGCGGCGTTGCGCACGGTCGACAAGGAGAATCGTCATTCACGCTGAGGCAAGTGTCTTGGTTTTAGTGTGGGCCTCGAAAATGTCTTGATTTTAGTGTGGGTTCACTACTATGTTGGTTTTTGTATGGGAGGACGCGAAATGGATCGTTCAGTAGAGGTAACCTTGGGTTTAGGGTTCGGGATAATTCTTGTCT